AAAAAAAAAAAGCATTACTAATAAAAAGTAATACAGATGAACAAGGCAGCCTAGTTGTTTTATTTACCATGATGTCATCTGGCTTGACATCTGCATGAAGAATACTGCATCTCTCTCTCTTTTTTTTTAGTTGGAATCTCACTCTGTCACCCAGGCTAGAGGGCAGTAGCACACTCACAGTCACCACAGCCTCGACCTGTTGGACTCAGGTGATCCTTCCACCTTAGTCTTCTAAGTAGCTGGAACAACAGGCATGCACCACCACACCTGGCTACTTTTTAAATTTATTGTAGCAATGAAGTTTTGTCAAGTTGCCTAGGCTGGTCTCGAATCCATGGGCTCAGGCAATTCTCTCACCTTGGCATCCCAAAGTGCTGGGATTATAGCCATGAGCCACAGAGCCCGGCCAATACTGCATCTTTTAAGAAGATTTTTTACCTTCTAAGATGCTGGCAAAATGTCCTATTTAACTTCCACAATGATTACAAAGATCTCATCTGCATAAGTACCTTTGAAACTGTGTATATTTTATATATTCTTTGATACAGATATATTTCACAATTAAAAAAGAAAAAAATTGAGGTAAAAATTAACTATGAAGTTGGTTAGGCAATTCTTTTTTTATTTTTATTTTTTGAGAGAGTCTTACTCTGTCATCTAAGCTGAGTGCAGTGGCACAGTCATAGTTTGCTGTAGCCTCACTCCTGAGCTCAAGTGATCCTCTCATGTCAGGCTCCCGAGTAGCTGGGACTATAGGCGTGCACCACCATGCTTGGCTAATTTTCTTTTGTTTTTTTTTGGTATGTGTGGAAATAAGGTCTCACTTTGTTGCCCAGGTTGGTCTTGAACTTCTCAAGTGATCCTCCACCTCAGCTTCCCAAAGTGTTGGGATTATATGCATGAGCCATCATGCCTGGCCTGGCTAGGCAATTCTATAATTCATTTGTAATGCATCTTCCTAGCCTATTAAGATCTAGGGAGGCCAAACAAAACAAACAAAATACATACGTGTGTGTGTGTGTGTGTGTGTGTGTGTGTGTATGTATGTATATATACTGTCTTCCATTTCAATGTAATTACTTAGCAACCTTAAGAAGTTATATTAGATACACAATAGACTATGAACTCAGACCAAACATAAAAATGGAACATGCTTCATTATTAATGAGGTGCTCTGGAAGGAAATATTTTAAGGTATTAATGAGAAAAAGAAGAGAAATCTGAACTAATGAGCTTAGTTATTGATAAAGAGTCCCTAAACTTTAAGGAGATCACAATCATCTTAAGAATTTATTTAGTCATAGCTCAAATAGTTCCCAATAAAAGACATCCCATATGTTTGGTTTTTCCTACGGATTGCTCCTAAGCGTCAACTGTAGGAGAGCTAAAAGACACTCATTAAAAAAAAAAAAAAAATGCAGAACATGTTACTGGCAGATGAACTATGAATTCGCCAAGTTGCAAACGTGCCCTAGATTGTGAACACCAATTGTGAACAGGGGAGCAGAAATGGGGCCAGGGAGGGAAGAGTACACATCTGCATTAATCACACCACCATGATGGATGACATGTATTGCCAAATTTCAAAAACATAAACACTATAAAATCTGCTTGTTACTACCAGAAGTCCTTAGCAGAAGAGGTTAAAACTTCAAAAGATATCTTTTAATACAACACCCAACCACAACTGAGCTCTATACCATTTGGGCCCTTGGGAGTCAGTTTCTAAAGTAGCATAGACTAAAGAAAGAAAAAAAAGTTATTCATAAGCACCTTTTAAAGTTAGTTACACACATCTGCTTAAGAGAAGGCAATTCTCTTTAATTTCCCTAATTCTTATCTCAGTCTACAAAATTAGAGAACAAAAAGTATGAACACTCCTTATTTCAAAAGAGCAACACATTCAGCACTTTTGTTTTACATACCAGAGGAAACACACTATTACTACATTAAAGCATTCTTGATATTTGTGCATACTTTGAAACCATCAATTAAAATAAAAAGGGACAATGGATTGCTTCCTCTTTTTCCATACTTTTTTATAGAATGTCACGGCTCAGAATGTCATTAGTAGAAACATTTGAAATGGGTTATTAATACATTGAATTTTGTTAAGATGTCATTTCTAAACTAATATAATAATAATCACACTGCTAGTAAAAAGTGATATGGATGTATAAGGCAGCCTGGTTGTTTGACTTACCAGGATATTATCTGGCTTGATATCGGCATGAAGAATATTGCATCTTTTAAGAAGTTTCAATGCCAGGAACAATTGCTGACTATAGGATCTTACAGCTTTAATATGAAGACCAACATCCTTACCATATTTTTTTAACACCTCTCGCAAATTCATACTTTTAGGGGGAAAAAAAACAAAAAACAAAATAGGAGTTAAAATGGAAATATAAAAGGCAAAAACATTTTCAGTAAAATCAAGTATAAAATATTATAAACAATGAAAATATTCTGTTCAAGAATCCGCCTCCTCAACAACTGGTAAATTATTTTACATTTAAATGAGAGCATATCAAACTGTGTGTACAAAACACAATTTCTCAATACAATTCAATTTTCAAAATAAGTGGAAAGGAAGCTCTCCATGGTAAAACTCCTATTTTGATTTTAGGACAGGTCTACATTTGAAAGCACAAAAATGAAGCCATACTGCTGAAGATCAAAACTGTATTATCTACCACACCACTCCTATTTCTTTTCATTCTGGCTCAATCCTTCCTTAAAGTATTTAATTTTAAGAGAATCTCTCCATTAACCTGTAGGCTGTATAATATTAGTAGGTAGTACACAGTAAAGAGTTAGTGTTTGTACATTCTGATTCAAGAAACTAGCTTCTCATGATTGCACCACTGCATTCCAGTCTGGGAAACAGAGTGAGATCATCTCTTAAAAATGGCAACAACAAACTAACTCTTATTCAAAAGTTAAGAAGACAAAAACAAGTGCTGACTGGAAAAAAACACATCAAACACTAAGATGGTCTGTCCTAGCATTTGATACAAAATGAGGTTGTTAGAGACGAAGAAGTTAAATTTTCATTTCAGTGCATAGGCTTTACCACTATACCTGAGAGGTTCGAATACAAGACAGAGATGTTGTTTGTGATAAAAGTGTCTGAAGAGTCGCAAACAATGAAATTTGTCATCAGGATCAGCATCATTAAGTTTTTTCAAGAACTCTAGTTCTTTTAAACCAGTCTTTTGCCTGAAATAAAAAAAATGGTTCAAAAAAGAATATATAAAGAAATTAGGAGAACTAAATAATACATATTTGCTAGTCCCAATGTGATGCATCACAGGTGACACGTGCAAGTAGTTTTAACTTTTTAACTACTAAAAAATCTATTCAGAAATGATGTCTCTATATTATCATTCATCACAATTTATACTTAGTTGCCATTTCATGGATAGTCAATTACTGTTTTCAATTTCCAAAATAATGCACAGAACAGAAACACTGAGGAACAAACCTACATTACTTGAAAGAAAATCAATCTTGAGTATATTACCTTAAAACGTTCTCACATAATTATTTTGAACAAAAATAGAACCACACTGTCTTGGTTCCTCTAAGAATGCAATAATGGATGCCTTATCAAATTTTAATATTTGATTACCTTAAGAAATTCACATTATAATTTGTCAATAAGTTACATTTTAAATTGTAGGGCAATAATTCAGAAGTTAGAGCTTCCCATCAAACCAGACAAACTCTAAGCATAGGACAATCTAAATTTCTTAACACTTCTAACCTTTCAAAAACATTAAGTTGACTTTAAACACTAGCTCAGTGTGTGGTATGGATTATGTATTAAACCATGAGTATGGCAATTACCTACTCTGTTAAAGGTAAAAGACAACAGATAAACAAAATATACAAATAATTTCCATCACTCTCTGAAAAATCAGTTTTCACTTTTGTGCAGGTCACCATACGTTCAGTGACAGCTAACCAATATGATCCTTTTCATTGTTACCTCTGATCTGGAGTTAAGATATTCACTGCAAAAGACGGCATAAGACAAGCACTAGAAAGGAGTCTATGTAGGTATTGAAATACACTAAAATGAATTAAAATACAATCAGCCTCTTGCTCTAGTGCATATAACATGTGGCTATAAATTAAAAATCCAGTCAAAAAGAAATGTTTCTATCACTTTATAAGTGCAATACTCATTTTACAGTGTTACGTGTTACACTTTTTTAAAATGGCATTTAAAATATGTTTATTTGTAAGTATCTGTGTTATTAAAGGTTTCACCATATACGTCTTCTGAACTTACATGAGTTCATTATTTCTGATGATCTTTACAGCCACTTCTTGGTTAGCTCTTGCATTATCTCTGGCTCGCACAACATTACTGAATACACCTTGCCCAGTGTAGCCATACACATTGTAGCGTTTATCTAGAACTTCACCTATGTTCACACCTAAAAGAAAAGACTAAAAGATTAGAATTCTGATCCTACCCGAATCAGAAAGTAGGAACACTTAAAAAAATTATGTCAATTCTTTACTATGTGGTTTCCTAGACATAATGAAGATTCAAAGCTGTACCTCCACTGATCACTCTTTCAGAATGCAGTCAAAAATTACATGCCCACTTTAGAACACTAGAAGAGTTCCTGTTGTCCTATCAAATGCAGACCATTTTAACAAAGTACAAAAGAAATGTGCGTACTGAAGTGTTTTCAATCGTAATCCTAAATGACAAATACTGCATAATTGGAATCCAAAGTTCATTTTTCTTGGTTTCAGATCAAGACAAATCAAGTGGTCAAGACAAACCCTTCCTTCTGGAGAATTACCTCATGGCTGAAAATACTTTGAACAGATTTTGGCTGAGCACCAAGTCTTCACCTCACTTTAATGTGTGATGCTTTTGTGCTGCTTACTAGAATATACATATACATAGGTTCATGTAGACATTGAAAACGCTACACTTTTAAAGTGATGACACTGTGATGTGATTTTTGAGAGTTCACCAACAATGTGTGATGGCATCAAGAAACATGCTTTTACAAAGTGTTACAATAAACTGTAAAGTTAATATGAAATTTGAACTTACGATAATAGCCTTCTGCATCAGTCCAATTATCTCTGAGGTTGGGGTTTTCTTTAAAATCTTTTCCAATGCCAGCAGCCCGAAGGCGAGCACTCTGAAATTGAAGAAGCAACATGAACAGTTTGCCTACTAATCAGAAACCAAATATAACTTAATAAAACAATTGTTTCAAATTAAATAGCTCATCACTTATGTGACAGCTAAAATGAGATTACTGAAGTCTTTTGCATCACTCATAGTAACACTCAAAAAAATTAATGAAGTATCTTCAAAAGCTTTTATGAATAGGATTAGGGCATTATAAATAAAAACTCAAAACTAGATCCAACTATCCCTAGCTGTCATACCATTTGTATTCTCATATATGCATGAAATATATAGTAATATTCACTGGCTACACTAAGTTGAATCTGTGTGGAAAATTTAAAAATATTTGATACTGCTGAAAATTCATTATTGCATCTCACTCTCTAGGATACCCAGAAGATCCTTCAATATTATCCAGGTAAGTAATGAGTACAGACACTTTAAGTGGCTCAACACTTATTTCATCTTCTAATCCATCTATTTTTTTGGTGTTCCTACTGCAATATATAAATAATACTTTGCTTGAGCCAATTACCAAAGTCTTCAGGGGCCTGTATACTGTTTATCCTACCCAATTTTAATTCTCCCTGTTATGTTTATCCTACCTCCTCTTACTAAGGCCTCATATTTCTCATGCTCTAGGAAATTTATATTGAAAATGGCCCCACGCTTCTGAATGTGTTTAGAATTTAAGAATTTTTTCAATAAAAGGCATTTATAAAAATGTAAAGAAAAAAATGACTAAATGACCAAAACTTCTTTATCTGCTGCTCCTTATAACACTTCCAATTCTTCCATAAATTATATTGGGCTCTAATTCTTTAAGTTCTTAATTGCCTACAATATAGGGGCCCAAAAGTAGACTCTAATAAAGATCTGGAAAATACTGGAATTTCTTTATCCCATCTAACTACCACAAATATAATGTGTTTAAATACTCAGTGCTAAAAAAAATAACTACACATTTGGTGTGTGTCTTTTATGAAGCTCTCACATTGTTCTGATATACTTGTTTTAAAATTTGACATAATTTCAGACCTAGAAGAAATGTACAAAACCAGTAGTTTCCAGATACCCTACACCCAGGTCATCCAAATGGTAACATTTATAATCAGCTTTAAGTGGCTCAATATTCATTTCATCCTTTCTCTCCCTGTATGTACACACATACATACTTTATTTTCCTGTTTAACAATTGATATAAAATTAACTTACATCAAAATATGCAGCAAACATATCATCAGATTCTGTAAACATATCAGGTGCCAACAGCTTCTTCTGAGATGAACCTTAAAGGAAATTAGCATTAATATTTTAAAAATAGTGAGACACAAAACACAAATACATCAATGGAAAGTCACTAATAGTAATTAAAACTTTTTTCCTCTTGCACAGTTTCCCATTAATACTCAGTTTATAATAACTTTATAACATATAAAACTATCCACTCAGAAAGTTGAAAGCCTAATATTAATTTTACCATTGTTAGTTTAAATGAATAAACTAATAGTTAAACAATGACCTTGCATTAAAATGAAAGTTCCTTCTTAAAAACTTTTAGTTATAATTTGTACCTTAACTCTCAAAGGATTAATACTATCAGTATACATATAGACCGATACATATTTCTCCCTTAAAATATCCAATAATCTGTCAGGTACAGGGACACCTGTAATCCCAACACTTTGGGAAGCCAGAGTGGGAGGATTGCTTGAGGCTTGGAATTCCAGACCAGCCTGGGTAACATAGTGAGACCCTGTCTCTACATAAAACAAAATAAACACTCAGAAATTGCTATTGAAGACAACCTTCTCGGGTCCTCTCCCAGTATAGGAGTTTTTCTGTCTTCTCAATAAATTCTGCTTTGTATGTTAAAAAAAAAGCTCTCAAATGTCAAAACTGTATAACCGATGTAAAAGAGAGAAACACGATATACAGCTGTATTACTTACTTATTCACCCTTCTCTTACCCAGCGATCCCACTTCCTAGGAACTACCAAAAAACATAGTGGCCAAAAATAAAATGACCTAATGAACAAATGCTATTATAATTAGTAACCAAAAGAGAGTCAACAACTAGACTCAATCCAAATATCCATTATTAGAAGACTGAATAAATGATAGCATCATTCTATAAAAAGGAAAGAGGAAGTGTGTATCAATATGAATGTGTATAGTTTTTTGTGTATAGGTATACTACACACTCTAATGCACACAAGTGTTTTAATAATTTAAAAAAGCAAAAAACAGACAATTCCTAAAAAAAATCAAAAGCACATGGAAACAAACCCAAACCTACCAAATTAGTGGTATAAACGCACAGAGAATTATTTCAAATAATTTAAAAACACGTAATTGTGCCCATACACCTTAGAATGTACCCTAAGAACAAAAAGAACCACTGAAATTTTAAGTTGCATTCTGTATATTTATTTGTCTTTTTGAGACAGGGTCTTGCTCTGTCACCTAAGCTGGAATGCAGTGGCCTGATCATGGCTCATTGCAGCTTTGACCTCCTGGGCTGAAGCTATCCTCTTGTTTCAGCCTCCAAGCTAGCTGGGACCATAGGTACCACACCACCATGCCTGTCTAATTAAAAAATTTTTGTTTTTTAAGAAACAAGGTCTCACTATGCTACCTATGATAGTTTCAAACTACTGGGCTCAAGCTATCCTCCTGCCTCAGCCTCCTAATCCTTTAGCCTGGGACTACAGGCATGAGCCACAATGTCCGGTAGCAGTCAGTACATTTAATAATGATAATCATGCTGCTATCAAGTTTTTCATTGTAATGGAGAAAAGAAATATAATGAAAGAAGTTAATAAAACATCTATAAACTCAAATTTAAATTGGCAATATCAGTATAAGCTCCTCTTTTCCAAAAAAATATGTATTTTCTAATTTTGTCCAGTGAAAAGACTCAAATAATATATACTTCTAGGTGTCCTGTGATATTGAAATGGCATTTTCCATTAAATGGAACCACAGTTCTATAGAGAAACAGGTGATTGTGCTCTGGGGCAGGATACGTACACGATGAACCCATGGTATATTATGCTAGAACAAGTTAGTAAACTACACATAGACTGTGGGCCAAATCCAGCTGGTCGCTTGTTTCTGTATGGCTTGTTTTTATATTTTTAAGTGTTTGAGGGGCGGGGGGCGGGGGGAGATTGAATACTTTGTGAAAAGTGAAAATTAGATGAAATACAAATTCCACTGTCCACAAAGTTTTGCAACATAACCATGCTCTCTTATCAATGTATTGCCTATGGCTGGCTCTCCACTACAGCAGCAGAGTTCAACATATGCAACTGCATGGGGATAAAGGTCTAAAACAATGACTAAAAGCTAAAATATTCACTACCTGACTTCTTACATGAAATTTTTTCTGGCCCCTGTTCTAGAAAGTAAAAGTTATATTCAATATTAAAAGGACATTAGAAACAAATCTAAAAGGGCTTCCTCCCCAGCCCAGTTAGAACAATTTGAGCTTCAACACAAAAACAGCAATGGGTTGAAATACATCAAGTACATAATACCAAAAAAACAGAAAACCTAACAAAAACAATCAAAATCTTATTAGTCACCTCTGGAAGTTGCCAGGGTACCAACTATATTCTATTTAAAAACTGGCAAGTAAAGGAAACCAATCATGCACTTAACCTGCCTTACCTGTATACTAAATATTCAGAGTAATCAAAGAGTGGAAACCTCTTCTTTTATGTCATATTTTTAGAAGTCTTTATCTGATTGATACACAAACTAAAATATTTACAGGTAAAATGAAATCACGGCTAGGATTTGCTTAAAAACACTCTAGCAAGAACAAAAGGAAAGGTAATAAATATATGGGAGTTTAGTATACTATTCAGGATATGTGAATTAATAAAAAACCCATCAATAGAATACATTAATAAGGACATATTTAATTACTGTAATATTTACAGAAGCAACATTCCTAATCCTTTACAGTTTTCCCCAATCTGACCCAAATCACACCCCAAATAAGGTCACTTATTATAATGTTACAGAACTAAAAATTCAGAGAAAAGTATGGTCAGGAAAAAAATCCACTGGACTCACCATTATTCTGCTCAACTGTCATTAGATTATGCTTGGCTTTTACTGAGGCTTCAAATGTATCAACATTTTCCCGTTCATACTCTTTCACATCAGCAGCTACCCGCTCCAGAATGTCATCTGGAGAGGGTGATCGTGTTCTAGTACTGCTCTGAGGGCTGCTTGGTTCAGATGGCACGGACATATTGCTATCTTCAGCAAGATATTTATATTTCTGTAATAACAATATAGAAAAAATATTTTTATAAAATCTGACACAATCTGAATATATTAATTTGCTACGAATTACTGCATTGAGAAGTTAAGAGAAAGTGTCAAACAGTGTAAACCAACAGTAACAACAAAAGAGGTATTTATACCTTGGTTGAATCAGATCCACAATCCCTTATATAATTTCAAAGTACACAAATGTTTTTCTATGTTTGGTGCACATTCATCAGGTGGCAAAACTTGATCTGACCAGATGAGATATTGTTTATTGTCTTATTTCCCACCCCCTATGTGCCTGTTAGTATGCCTCACTGTAGAAATACTAATGTGTTTAATTATGGGGTCTGCTCCAGATCCCACTCATGGCGCTAAGTGATATACATAAATGCACCATATTACCTTTCTAAATTTCAAAAATTTCTGAGTTCAGAAGCACATCTGGCCCCATGGATTGGAGATAAGGGATTGTGGACCTGGGCAAGAACAAAAAAAGATTCAACCAAGTCTTCAGGGATATCAGTTTAGTAATAACAATTTTACCAGTGCCCCAGAAAACTAAGCTTCCCTTGGAATTCTGGTTATGTCCTACTTCCCTTCTGGAGATTAAGATCTTACTTCATTCCAGCATGACATATCATTACACATGATTTATGGTTTGCTATGTATGTTTAGGTTAGCTACCACAGCTGTTCTTTCTTTTTGTATTCTGTCCAAGTAGCTGATAATCTTCCAATGCAAGTCTTATTAATAAATGACTATATCAAGATCTATATAATAACATGCTTTCCCCACCCAAATTTTCTTCATCTAGTCTTAAAATTATGTTTCTAATGTTTCTTTTAAATCATTCACATTAGAAAACTTGCCACTATTTTATCACACACCAATTTTTTTTTTTGCATAGTAAGAGGCACAATTTTTTGCTAAATGAAATTCTTCCAATTTATTCTATGGTCACATGAAAATTTTATTGTTCATTAACAATAAAAAGAAAGCAAACTTCACATCTTCATGTCTTACCAAAGTTTATATCAAAATTCTACATATAACAACGGGCAACCATTTCAATTTTTTTTTTTCCCTTGAGTTGGAGTCTCACTCTGTCATCCAGACTGGAGCGGCCACTGCAGCCTCGATCTGCTGGGCTCCGGTGATCCTTCCACCTCAGCCTTCCAAGCAGCTAGAACTACAAGCGTGTGCTACCACGCCCGGCTAACCCATTTCAATTTTAATAGAAAAGATCATCTTTTCAAATCTCACAAAGATAATTTTATATATACTATCCTCTTCTAATAACCTATGTAACTGTTACTAATGTCACTTCTTTATTAAGTGAAAACTCTTTATTTTACTAGAAAAATGATTATTTAGAGAGGAAGCTTGACAAAACTTTCACTAAAATCACATACCTGAACAATTGCCTGCCTTTGGATCCTTCTCTGTTCTATTAGGGCTTCTTCATCTTCTTCCTCTACATCAAAGTCTTCAAGGCTTAAACAAAAGATTCAAACATCCTTAAAGATTGTTAAACGTCTTCATCAAGCAAACAATTGGGAAGAACTTAGCAGTATAATCACAAATCACAACAGTATAATGCAAACACAAAAATGAGAGCCATACATTTTCTTAAACATTCTGGCACTATTTCCAAGCTCAATCAAATTATTGTATACTTTTAAACTTAGAGTTAGTTATCAGTGTTGCCCAGACATAAAAATCTGCTAACACTTGTTCCCTCCAATGAGGGAGAAGTAGTTGGCAGACAAGGTGGAGGGGTTGAGCATCAACTTTATCCCTATTTTGCTCTTTCTTTTATTAGAAGGAAAACATATATCTGATATCACTTTTTAATTTTGTTTGTACCAGAATTTATTTTCAGTGTATACTGACCAGATATAGAGCTACAGATAGAAAATAGCTAGATGACAGATAGAATAGGGGGGAAAAAATCCTTAGAGATTCTAAAAGCATGATGCATGCATTTTTAAATTAAAGGCTAGAGGCTGGGCTTGGTGGCTTAGCCTGTAATCCCAGTACTTTGGGAGGCCGAGGCGAGTAGAGGCCGAGGCGAGTAGAGTGCCTGAGTCTGCAGGTTTGAGACCAGCCCAGGCAACTTGGCAAGCCCGCCTCTCTATAATAAAAAAAATAAGTAAAAATTAGCTGGGTGTGGTAGTACGGGCCTATAGTTCTGGTTCCTTGGAAGGCTGAGACAAAAGGATCACTGAAGCCCAGCAAATCCATGCTGGGGTGGCCGTGAGAGTGCCACTGCACTCCAGTCTGGGTGACGGAGTGAGACTCCAACTCAAAACAAACAAACAAACAAACAACAAAAACACTTGCAAATATTTGCATATAATCTGGAGGGGAATGTGACTCTACCCCTAAATATTGCCCCTGACCATCCCCACTTATATCTCCTCAAAAACCTCCTCCACAATCCTTGTGATCTCTCCCAGTGCAAATTTTTCTGCATTACCTGTTGAAAGTTCACCACAGAAGGGTATGACTATATCAGGATCTACGTAGCACGCCCTTCTCTTATCCAACGTTTAATCACTTAGCTTTAATCAGGGTTTCTCAACCATACCACTATTGCTTTTTGTTTAACAGAAATACTTTTTTTTTTTGCAGTAGGGGTTTATTCTGTGCATTGTACAATGCAGTATCTCTGGCTTCTAGCCAATAGATGACAACTAACAATGTCTTCAAACATTGCCAAAATGTCCCCAGAGAGGCAAATAAATAAGCCCCTCTTGAAAATCACTGCTCTAACTTACTATTTTTTTTGAAATGTTTCACTTAAGACAACCAAGTTTGCATTTAAAAATTTCCCCACTATTTCTTTAGATGCTATTTTTACATTGTAACAGTTACTTGCCACAAGATAGCCTCCACTGTAAAGTATGTATCATCTGACACAAACTGAAAAGTCTAAACTTTATACAGAATATTCTCCCTTCAAAACCTGCTACTCAGATCAGCAGGACTAACATATCTGTTGGTCTTAACAAAGACAAAAGGAAAATGATGACTCAATATTCACTCTAGATTAAGCTGAGACCCTGATGTTCACAAAACCACTACCCCTGCCATATGAACTATACGATGTGCACAAAACATTATCTTTTACAAATTCAGAGCCAAATTAATGGATTCACTTATGATATTCAGGTAGAAATTATTTAAATATTTCCAAATCACATAGACTTCTCTAAACTGAAAAAATAACATTATGAGAAAGTTTTATTCTTACTTATCGTCGGATGAAGATTCCTGCTCAACTTTCATTCCTTCAGAAAGACTTCCTTTAAATTTATCTTCTTTTACTTTGCTTCTGCTCCTACGTCTACGACCACCCCGTGATCGAGATCGCCTTCTCAAGCGTGATCTGCTCCTCCGACCTCTGTCCCTATTTAAAGAGAAAAGACAGATAGACATTTAAAAAGAAATTTTGAAGTGGGGGAACATATGGGGTCAGAGGATATATGGGAACTCTACTTTCTGTTTAATTTTGCTGTATACCTAAAACTACCCTAAAAACTAGTCTTTAAAAAAAAAGTTATTTAAAATTTTTAAGTAGAATAACAATATCAGAAACAAAGATAATCATCAATTTAGCTGAAGACAAAAACATAGCCAACTCTTACAATTAAAACTAAAAAATCTTTGAGTATGGACTTGAATATAAGCTCTCTGGGAATAAATACCTACTGTTTCTTTGTATTTTTATGGCAAGAAGGTTGTGATACACATGAAAGATGCTGATGTAAAGAAGGAGACTAACTACAAAGGGGGAACAAACGAATTGTGGAGTGATGAAAATGTTCTTTACCTTGACTGTGCAACTATGCAACTTATGTGTCTGTCAAAATTCATACAGCTTTAACTAAAAGTGTTTATATATATATGTATATATATATAAATTACATAAAGTAAAACACACATATATATAAATTACATAAAGTAAAACACTTTTAGTTAAAGCTATATGAATCGTTTACATTAAAATATATATATATATTTCAATAAACTAAATGTAAAGAAACCTTGCTAAAATGACAGTAAAATCCACAGGCAAAGAGAGTGTGAAGAGATATGATAGCAGAGATGGTAACAAAATCTCAGAATGTGCAAACTGGATGGAAGAGTAGTGACATATCAAATCGAGCTGAATATAAGTCCAAAAGGAACAGATAAGGCAAATCAGAAGCAAGTACATGTCACAACACCCCAGAAATTGGAGACATCCTACCCTCTGAAAGATGGAGGTAAAAGCTGAAAACAGAATTGGTTAAAAAACTTTAGAAACAGCTAGACTAGGCCAGGTTTGGTGGCTCAGCCTGTAATCCCAGCACTTTGCAAGGCTGAGGCAGAAGGATCACTAGAGCCCCACAGGTCGACAGTGGGGTGGCCATAAGCGTGCCACTGCACTCCAGCCTGGGTGGAGTGAGACTCCAACTCAAAAAAAAAAAAAAAAAGAAACAGCTAGACTCTGTATTTCCCTCTTCAACTCACTGGAAAATGTCAACCATCCCCTTCACATTTTAGCAGATCACTTAAAATTTACTTTCTGGAGGAGTGTTGTTAGTCATTATAAAAACTGGTACCAGATGCTGGAAGGGACTGTATCAAAAATGGAGGGATTAAAACAAAACAAAAATGAAGGGATTATGGGTAAGATTACATTAGAAAAGATCAGAACTCTGCTGGAAGCCAGGTTTATACGCCTTAACAAGAGATGAGAGGATTCTGGAAAACTTACTAGCCCAAGAGGAAAAATCTACAGTCGAAGATATCCACAAATCTCTATTTACCCTGTAGTGATAGCCACTAGTTGACAAGTTCTATATTGTCACAATGAAAGAAAGCTTCCTCAGTGCCTAACTATTAAATCAGAATAGGTAGCAATGCAAGATCCCCAACTGAAACTTAAGCAAGCAGCAAAAGTAATCTGAAAGTATGCAAAAGAAAATTATAGAGAACAAAAATCTTACAAAATAAATTTAATATTGGCTGAGAGGTAAGAAATGTTATTTCTCATAAAACAATAAAATGTTAACGTAATAAGGGAACAATACAGATGGTTCAAGTCAGGGGTGGGACCCCAAAAGAAAGCAACAGGGAAGGAAAAAAAAGAGAGCTAGAAAGTTTCCCATAAGCTTACTGCTTTATAAAGGGCTTATCTAGTGACCAGCAAAATAAATTGAAAAGATCAACATACCTTCAGGGCACATTACAGTAAAATTCCAGAACACAAGGCGTTTATTGCAAAGAGTAATTACCAAGTCCATTAAAAATGCCCAAGAATCAGAATAGGACCTTTCAAAAGCAACATTATAAACTATAAATCAGTGAAATAACCATTTCAAAATTCTCAAGGAAAAACTATTTCAACCTAGAATTCTATTCCTTGCCAAATCAACAATGAGAATCAAAGGCTATTTTTAGAGATAGAAAGCCCCTAAAAATGTCCTTCCATGAGCTATCCTCAGGAAGCTATTGAAGATATATTATCAAAAACAAGGAAAGCATGAAGATACCGGACACAGGAAATGAAATCACTATATAAGATATAAACAAGGGAATATCAAGAGGATGGCAAAGAGATAGCAATCCCAAAAGGATTACTATGTGAACAGCCCTGAGATGAGCCCCTAGTCAGAAGAGTAGGAGCATCAGAAGAATGCTCAGAAGGATGCTCCTAGTCTTCCCCTACCATTTGCTCTTCCCCAACCATTTCCTCAACATTGAACAATATACAATAATTGTAACAATTATTATATTCACTCTGGAAGAACAAAAAAACCTGAGAAACATGGGTGTGGGGTGGCATTAAAAAATCCTCATTATCCAAAATACGCTTAGACCATACATCTCTACTTCTAAAGATGGAGCATACAAAAACTCTCAGATATGTAAAGATGACTACAATTTAAGCTTTTCATATATCTTTTAAAACTATATTCACATATTACTTCAATTAAAAAGGTTAAAAGATTGGCAAACAAATGGCCATTTATGCTTTAAGTGAAGATATTTAATGTATATGTAAATTTTAAAAAAAGAATCCCCTGCCTTAAAAACCAACCTTTTTGATTAATCTAATTAATGACTACATGTGCTTCAGATAAAATGGTTTCTACAGTGAATTAAGTAGGTTTTTGCCAGTCTTCAGTGAGTATTTTTTTTTTTTTTTGAGTTGGAGTCTTACTCTGTCGCCCAGACTGGAGTGCAGTGGCCACTCCCGGCCACCGCAGCCTCGACCTGCTGGGCTCCAGCAATCCTTCCGCCTCAGCCTTCCAAGTAGCCGGAATTACAGGCATGCGCTACCATGCCCTGCTGATTTTTTGATTTATTGTAGAGATGAGGTCTCGCTGCCCAGGCAGGTCTCGAACCCATGAGCTCAGGCAATCCACTCACCTCAGCCTCCCAAAGGCACGGGATTACAGGCTGAGCCACTGAGCCCGGCTTCAGTGAGTATTTACTGACAGATTTACTTCAGATTATAAACTGACAAAAAACTGACTATATATTTACTACCCTATGATCTATCATGCTAGCTAAATCATTTAGTATTTATCTCATAAGAGAAAAAAAGTCTTATTTTAAAAAACTGTGTGTGTGTATATATATAAAAATATAACTAGCAGGATTTATTCAGGACAGAAAAGTTCCCATAGTGGGAGGGGACCTGAAGGGGTTGCCCCAAAATTGTGCTTTTAATAAGCAATGGTTTGTGTAAATCTGATGGGAAACTATATAAGAAATCTATGTGTAAAATATCACATGCTAGTAAAAGCAAACTATGGGACTACAACTAAAATTTTTCAGAGAAAATATGGTCTACAAGAAGCCTAGTAACTGAGTTCATTGTAGCTTCAAAAACATTCAGTGTTTAATGAAAAGAATAACATATGTAAATATATCTTTACCTTCTCCTTGGAGACCTGCTTCTTCTTCTTGGAGACCTGCTCCGTCTGAGTGGGGAACGAGACCTCCTTCTAATGGGAGATCTACTTCTTCTTCGGGTTGGAGACCACCTATTGATGGGGCTGGCATCTTTTGATCTTTCACGTCTACTGAGGATATCATCTCGAGGTCGTGTTCTTAAGGGGATCAAATGCAAGTTAACAGAAAAATAAAAGTAAATGAATTTATTCTATATGTACAGAACATCTGTAAGAAAAGGTACACTAGCCTAAAGATAGTAAACACTGATTAATGTGTTTTATAACAAAACTTGGCTAGGCACGGTGGCTCGCGCCTATAATACCAGCATTTGGGAGGCAGAGGTGGGAACCTCTGCCTGAACTCACGGGTTCGAGACCAGTCTGGGAAACTTGGCAAGACTTCATCTCCACAATAGATAAAAAAATTAGCCGGACATGGTGGCACATGCCTGTAGTTCCAGCTACATGGAAGGCTGAGATGGAAGGATTGCCTGAGTGCAGCAGGTTGAGGCTTCAGTGGCCGTGAGCATGACACTGCCCTCCAGCCTGGGTGACAGAGTGAGACTCCAACTCAAAAACAAAACAAACAAAAAACCTTAAATTCTGACTACAATGATATCTTGGTGCTAAGGCAGGCACACAACAATAGAAGGCTTTATTTACTCCAGTCTCAAAACTTGAAAAATTACTAAAGGATATTCATATTGTTAGAGACACTAATTCTAATTTCAAACAAACAACTCAAATAAAACTTGTCCAACTGAGTAATAAATATTGCATTTCCTCAGTACGAAAACTTTTTTCTTGGCCAGGCATGGTGGATCATGCCTGTAATCCCAGCACTTTAGGAGGCTGAGGTATGAGGACTGCTTGAGCCCAGTTGTTCAAGACCAGCCTAAGCAACATAGCAAGGCCATGTCTCTATAAAAAATCAAAAATAATTAGTCAGGCATGGTGGCATGTGCATGTGGTCCCAGCTACTTGAGAGACTGAGACAGAAGGATTGCTTGAGCACAGGAGGTTGAGGTTATGGTGAGCCATGATCATGCCTCTGCACTGACAGCCTGGGTGAGAGAGAGAGAGATTCTCACTCAAAAAAACAAACAGAAAAAGAAAAATATGTCTGCAATTAGGAATATTATTTTTAATGTCAATTAAGTATAACTGCATCTGACAATCAACATTAACCTCAGTAAGGAAATATCTCAGCCTTTCCCAATCAAAATCAACTTTAATACCTGTCTCACAAATACCATCCAGGCTGGGCTCGGTGGCTCAACCTGTAATCCCAGCTCTTTGGGAGGCCGAGGCAAGTGGATTGCCTAGGCCCATGGGTTCAAGACCAGCCTGGGCAACTTGGTGAGACCGTTTCTACAATAAGTCAAAAATTAGCTAGGCGTGGTAGCACGCGCCTATAGTTCCAGCTACTTGGAAGGCTGAGGTGTAAGGACTGCCGGAGCCCAGCAGGTTGAGGCTGCGGTGGCTGGGAGTGGGCCACTGCACTCCAGTCTAGGCACCAGAGTGAGACTCCAACTCAAACAAACAAACAAACAAAAAAACCATCCAATGAGTTTTACTCTTGTTTAGTGTGGTATCTATATTACAACAAGCCTTTCAACAATTTAATTCTTTTAAAAATGTTTTGAACATTTCTAAATGTTATTTCAGATTTGCACAGAATTACTCAATCTGAACAGACTATAACTAGGTTTGTTTCCACAATTAAAAAACGTACCATTACAGTGTTCCTTCATTTAATAAAATCATAAAAATACAAGCTGCCTTACACGTTTGAACAAGGAGTATGGAACTTAAACAAAATCTTTCTCTCATTCAAACAAAATGAGTAGACTTTGACTCAGATCTGTAGCACTGACTTATTGGTAGGGCCATCTGAGGAAATTTTTTTTTTAAGTCAAGGTCTCACTCTGTCACGCCAGCTAGAATGCAGTAGCACTATCACAGCTCACCACGTTCTTGACCTCCAGGGCTCAGGCAATCCTTCCGTCTCAGCCTCCTGAGTAGGTGGGACTATAGGTGTGCTACCATGCCCAACAATTTTATTTTTTTGTAGAGACGAGCAAGAAACTTTTAATTAATTTATATCCAATCTGCCTATACACACATCGTCTCAAAGACTGGTTAAAAAAATATAAATGGATGGGATGAAGTAAAAGGGTGTAGATGAAGAGTCATCTGCTTAAATGTAATGAAAATAAAAATGTTCATTCTTACTAATAACCCACGAACTTTAGATTAAAATAGTGTCTTTTTTTTAAAGAGTGACAAAATGATACTATACAGTATCCTCCTAATAAGGGTTTGAGGAAAAGGACAGTCCATACAGTCACAGAAATGCAAATGCATATAACTTGGGACTTTGCAAGTCCACTTCTATGAATCTGTTCTATAAAGACACCTCACATGTAACCAAAGAACATCTCTGCATACAACATTGGAAAATTGGACCCAACCTGAATTTTCATCAGTTTCGACAAGAGAATGATTATGATACATCTATAATGAAATACCATGTTGCTGCTATAAAAAAATGAAAAACAGGGACTGGGCATGGTGGTTCATGCCTATAATCCCAGCACTTTGGGAGGCAGAGGTGAGAGGATTGCCTGAGCCCACGGGTTCAAGAGCAGCCTGGACAACTTGGTGAGACCTCATCTCTACAATAATTCAAAAAATCAGCCAGGCATGGTGGCGCATATCTATAGTTCCAGTTACTTGGAAGGCTGAGGTGGAAGGATCATCTGAATACAGCAGGTCAAGAAAGCGGTGGCCATGAGCGCGCCACTGCACTCCAGCCTGGGTGACAGAATGAGACTCCAAATCAAAAAAAAAAGGAAAGGAAAGGAAAAAATAATCTATATGTATTGTCATACAAGTGTTTTTATGAAAATAGCAAGTCACTTGTTAATACGAATAGTATGACTCCATCTGTGTTCAAGATAACCTTGTATTCATGTTATTGCATGTGCATAGCAAAAGGGCTAGAAGAACAAAAACTTCTCAGAGTAATGTGGAGAGATGCTCGAGAGGGAGTCAATTTAGAGGCTTCTGCATTATTTGAATGTCTCTTTGGTCAGTATGTACCTCTTCTGTAATAAAAAAAAAAATGCGTTTCAAATACTCAGCTCTAGTCCTTAATAAACTCCTTGAAATCTGCTCTTCAAACTAAAAACAAACAAAGACTACAAGGATAAGTAAGATACATTTTAAATAACAGAATCAATAAGACTAATAATGTCTCAAGGTAAAAAGCAAAAGGAAAAAGGGAGTTAATTCTCATTATATTGCCACTTTAGAAGTAAAGAATGAAGAATCAAGAGTATCTCTTAACAAAGTGCACTTTAGAAAAAACATTCTTCAAATTTACCTGAGAATATAATGATTTAACTTTCAAAATCAGTTTATAGTTATACTAAGAAAATATTAATATGAATATAGTACATGGCTAGAAATTAATAACATCTTTACATAGTATAAGCCAACATTCCTTTAATAAGAAAAATTTGGCTGAAGATTTCATAAGCTGAATATTAAAAACATAATAATCAGTTTCTAAAGTAGTTTAGACCGGTCTAAACATCCCACTCCCCAAATAATTTAGTTCTATAATCTTAAGTTAATCATAAAAGTTCTCTGGCTCTATATCCTCATTTATAAATTAGGTATGAGAGCCCTGCCATCACGAATTAAGATAACCACATGAGTATTTACAAGAAAAGGGCTCTGATAGAATGTTTTATTCAAACATGAATTATTAGTAGTATAAAAACCATTCTTATACTGCTCTTCCTAAGTTTGAGATATTTTTTCTCACCAATGAGATTAAATGTATTAGTAAGAAAAAAGTTTGATTTTAAACTTAATTATATTTCAAGGGCCAAAAAGATGGTATTAATCTTATATTGTTAAAATACAAAATCAAGCCGGGCTCCGTGGCTCAGCCTGTAATCCCGCGCCTTTGGGAGGCTGAGGTGAGTGGATTGCCTAAGCTCGCGGGTTCGAGACCCACCTGGGCATGGAGACCTCATCTCTACAATAAATCAAAAACTCAGCTGGGCATGGTAGCGCGTGCCTGTAATTCCGGCTACTCGGAAGGCTGAGGCGGAAGGATCGCCGGAGCCCAGCAGGTAGAGGCTGTGGTGGCCGGGAGTGGCCACTGTACTCCAGCCTGGGCGACAGAGTGAGACTCCAACTCAAAAAAAAAACAAAAAAAAAAAACAAAATCATACAAATGCAAGAGGATAAACAAAGGGGTCTTTAAACTGATTATCACTCCCTCTTTTTAAGGTTAATATTTCCACCTAAACTGTTCAAAAACATAAAAATCCTCTCTGAACACCCCAATAAAGACTTAGCCAAATTACTTGGATTTAAAGCAAGTTAGGCACTAAATTAAATCAAGAACTTGAGAGAAAAAAAAGATAGTGATTCTATCATCAGATGCAGTATTTGTAAAGCATTCAAAATATTCACTGACAAAAGTACAAATACTAATAGTTTATGAACTCGATTATACTTAAAATTATGAAACTCACACCTGCAATCCCAGCACTTTGGGAGGCAGAGGCAAGAGGACTGCCTGAGCCCTCAAGTTCCAGACCAGCCTGGGTAACATGATGAGACCTCGTCTCTACAATAAAATCAAAAAATTAGCTGGGCATGGTGGCACATGCCTATAGTTCCAGTCACTTGAAAGGCTGAAGTGGAAGGATCACCTGAGTCCAGCAGTTCGAGGCTGCAGTGCCAACTGCACTCCAACCTGGGAGTCAGAGTGAGACTCTGACTCAAAACAAACAAACAAACAAACAAAAAAACCCAACACCAAAAACTCATTTTTAATTGTCCACAAGTTCTAGTTTCCCCGACAGAGTGAGACTCCAACTCAAAAAACAACAACAACAAAAAAAAAAAAACACAAATTATATATATATAGTGCATTGGTAAAAGGCATTAACATTTTGTGAACTAGTTACCTTGGAGAAGAGAGTCGTCTCCTCTCTGGTTCTCGTCGTTTTCTTTCTAGGGATCGACTCTTAGCTCTTCTACCAGGGGAGAGTGTTCGAGAGGGTGATTTGCTCTGCTTAGATCTTCTATCATTTAAGAGTGGAGATCTACTTCTTCTTGATTTATCACGCTGTTTTGGAGACAAACTCCTTCTTTTAGGACTGCGACCAGGTCTTCTACTGGGTGACCTATTTTCCTTCCCAGATGAAGCATCTTTAGAGGGAGATTTAATTGGTTTCTTTTCTTTATCAGTTTCAGATCGTTTTGATTTTCTCTCTTTGGACCGTGACCTTCTGTCTTTGGATTTACCTCTTAAATCCACTGGGGATCTGGATTTTTTACCTCGATCGCGACTTCTACTTTCATTTATAATTGGGGATTTTTTTCTATCTTTTGATTTACTTTTATCTTCAATTTTAACCTTATCATCAGTAGGAGACCTGGCTTTACCAATTTTCTCTTGAGATCGCCTTCTAAGGGTAGGCGATTTTGATTTTCTTGCTTGATCTTGAGACTTACTTCTTTTTGTTGGACTTTTAGATTTTTTCCTCTCCTTTGACTTGCTCCTAGTTGTTTTTTCTTTAACTATTTCAATACCTCCCTTACTTTTCTTTTTATCAGACCTATGTCTAGTCCGTTCTTTGGATCTGCTTTTACTTCTCTTTTTTGTAGTATTTTTATTGTCCAGAAGTTCAAGTTTCCCCTTTGTACTTGAAGATCTAGTACTAGACCTATTTCCATTTCTTGCCTTTTCATGAATCTCCCCCTCTTCTTCTGAGCCAGACTCATAACCTTGTAAAATGAGCCCCATTCCAGATTGGACCTTTCCTTCCATTAACTCATTATCAAGTTCAGCCTTAATCAAAGCTCTCTGTTTTTCCAAGTCTTCTAGCAAAGCTAAATCATCAAGTTTAGTTCTTTTTGCTGGAGACATACCTTCTTTATCAGAAGCATCAATAACTTCTTTTCTTTTGTGTTTCTTATGTTTATGCTTATGTTTATGTTTTTTATCCTTGTCCTCTTCTGAGGAATGTTTATGTTTCTTATGTTTACTTCTGTGTTTATGCTTCTTTTTTTTGTGACGACTGTGCTTATTTTGAGATTGGTCTTCTGATACTTCTCCATTTTCTTCATTTATACTCTTTTCAGAATTATCGGCATCTTCCATCCTATAAATATATCAAACACATTTTAAAATCGCATCATTTATGAAGCATTCAGAGTCATAACAAAATAACAGTAATAATAAAATACATTTCAATGGACTTAGTCACAAGAGTTTTTTCATAAGAGCTTCAGATATTTTATTTCAAAGAAGATATATGGCAAGAACTAAGTTGAATGGTGATACAACTTTACTGAGTTTCCAATGGTTGGACTTGTATACCAAAGGTATCAGAGAAAATACATAATAGGGTAAGTTAAAAAATTACAATTATGGAAAAAGGAAATCCAAACCAGGTACAGCAAATATTGATTTAGCTAAAACAGCCATTCAATAACTTGGCTTTTAAACCAATTTCTCACACACAGTCCTCTGGTTAAAGGACCCATTTTCTTTTTTCATAAAACATTAACATTGACATACACTTGGATAATAATCTCCTTCTCCTCTTGAAATCCAAAAAATTTGATGACTCTACAATAAGCCTAGCCAGTCATTTGTTCTGAATACATTTCATCTTATATAGTACCTTAAAAAAAAAAATCTCTAGAGCCAATATTGAGCTATACTCAAAATAAGTACACAATCAACGTGCATTGGCAACTGATGTTGATGATGTTGACAGTATAAACACATTCCCAAGGTTTAGACCTTCAAAGAGAACTAAGTGGCAGTTATGACTCCTAGCTTGAAGATAATACTAAGTGATCATGTGACAGTAGGTTGAACCAAATGGAAGAAGGGCCTTTTGTAGGTCAACAGCAGCCTAATATCAGATATTTCATACAGTTCAATCCAATACTCATACAAATTATTTAATCTCTTTGAATTTCAAATAAGAAACTAGTTTCTCAAAACATGTTCATATTAATAGATGCTATGCAAAAATTAATTAAAGGGGGATTCCGTGCTTAAATATTTGGGTTATGTGAAATAAAAGAGTTTATGATTCTAAACTATTTTATGAAGCCCCTGATGTTCAGTAATCCCAAGTTAAATAATGGTTCAAAAACATTAAAAGCACCACAAAAATGATTTTAAAAAAGCATTTAAAGTCACTGCATAGTAAGCGATCACTTCCTAGTCTATGAGGCGAAAAACAGCTCTCATTATCTAGAATCCGGCCATCATACTATTTTTGGAGGAAAATATGGATTATTTTGTCAGGCCTTCAAATTATATACTCTTATCTCTGGTAAATTTCATTTGTGCCATATACTACAAATAGTTTCTTGTAAGCTAAAAATTCATCAATATATTCATTAATCTCCTTAACATTTTTAAAAAACCACCAAACACATGGAGGCATTAAGTAAGCCAGGTGACAGGAAAACAAAGATGTACAAGACTGTTATCTGTCTCCCTCAAGGAAATTAAAGCCCAATGGAAAAGAAAGTCACATAATATAACCATAAAACACTGGAGAAATGTAATAATAATGACACAAATAAGGGTATTTTGGGGAACACTAAAAAAATCACCAAACTTATTTTGAGAATGGGTAGGGAAGGTGTTTTGTAGATTACAGGAAAAAACTCTGTGTTAAGCAGGGGCTTTGGGGGTAACGAAGAAATGTTTACTGAAAAGGGACATGGATTAAAAAATAAAGGTTGAGTAAAACTGTCCTAGAGAATGAGTAAGGGATTAAGCAGAAAAGGAAAGGGGCATTTCAGGTAGAGAAAGCAGGCGACAAAGGCATAATTATATATAGCAATCTACGGGCAGGCCAATGTTGTCGGAACATCAAACTTGAAAGACATTTGTCTAATGAAGGTTAAAATTCCAAGTGGAGCCAGACATGGTGGTGTGCCTACAGCCCCAGCCACTTGGGAAACCGAAGCAAGAGGATCGTTTGGGCACAAGAGTTCCAGGCTATAGCCTGGATGACAGAGTGAGACTCCTCTTAAACTTGGCAAGGGGAAAGAATGGAGTATGATTGAGATATTATTAACTAGCTGACAACAATGAGGGGGAGTGGAGAATACATAGCCACTACATGGCATCATCCTCTAAGAACTTTGATTTTGGGGTATCAGACTGCCAACCTCCATTTCTGGGTACCACGGAGTAGGGAAGGGAAAAAAGTCAGAGAAGTACAGAGAAAGCTGTGCCCTCAGGGGAAAGTCAGGTTTTAATTTGGGCTGACTTCTCTCTATATGAGAAGACACAGGATAAAAAGAGTAGTGCTCTCTGGATCATTAATTTTCCTCAAAGATGTGGAAAAAGAAAGTCAATATCTTGGTATTTAAAAACAAATTGCTATATTATGGAGGAGGAAAAAAAAATCACATAGATTTAATTAAAAGACCTAAAGACATTTCAACTTTGTTCCGGACATAGGCTAAACCTCCATACCACCGCTTTTCCCCAGAAATAACCCATGACTTACAGGGGAAAAAAGCCTGAGAAAAATCAGGCTAATTCAAGTTATGACGCTAAGCATGGAGAAACTTGTGAAAGATTGAGAATTTTTAGGTATATAATATAAATCTAAGTATCCAAAGTAAAAAATCCTAGTCATTAAGCTAGGTTAAGACTACCTGAAAACCTTTTAACTGTCTTCAACACAAAGGATAGGTGGGTTCAGCAGTCCCCAGAGCAAGACCGCCTGGGTTTAAATCCTGGTTCCATTAACTTACTAATTGTGTGGTCTCGGCAAGCTTAAGATCTCCCTGATCCTCAGGCATCTCATTTATAAAACGGAGGAAATAGTACACCAGAAAGGGTGTTGTGAGGTTTACACAGGTGAATATATGTTAAATGCATATGACAGAGTCTTGCCCAAACCAACCGCCTCCTAAAATACACTGCAATTTTTTACAGATGCTGGATAAATATATTTATTCACAACAACCTCGTGGAGCTGACACAGTTGGTAATAACAATGTTAATTTAAGAAATAATATCAAAGAGCAAAGACTCTGGAGTAAAACTACCTGGTTCAAATGTTACCTACAACATGACACAGCTACTGTGACCTTAAGCAAGTTGCCTCCTGTCCCTCAGTTTCCTCAACTGTGCCTCGTACAAACTGGAGAAAAAAACAGTACTGACAAATCACAGCTTTGTCATTATAATTAGATGAGTTCACATTACAAAAGGCTGTCATAGGAAGTGCTCAAGAAATGTCTCTCAGCCGGCTCGGTGGCTCAGCCTGTAATCCCGCGCCTTTGGGAGGCTGAGGTGAGTGGATTGCCTGAGCCCACGGGTTCGAGACCCGCCTGGGCAGCGAGACCTCATCTCTACAATAAATCAAAAAATCAGCCAGGCGTGGTAGCGCATGCCTGTAATTCCGGCTACTCGGAAGGCTGAGGCGGAAGGATCGCCGGAGCCCAGCAGGTCGAGGCTGCGGTGGCCGGGAGCGGCCACTGCACTCCAGTCCGGGCGACAGAGTGAGACTCCAACTCAAAAAAAAAAAAAAAAAAAAATGTCTCTCCATATGACAGATGAGACTTGAGGTTTAAGGGAGTGGCCTAAGGTCACACATACATCAGGCCAGTGAGAAGGTTGGTATAATAGTCCAAGTCAGTCAAAGCTTTTCCAATTGATTGAAGAAGCATTTAAAATGTCAGATTATGTCACTACTCTGTGTGAAACTTGATTATTGCCTCTTATCTCACTCAAAGCAAAAACTAAAATCCTTTACGAGGCCCTGATTTACTGCCCAACCTCCATAGCACTTTGAATCTACAACTGATTCTCTTCCCACACTCACCCTTAGGGCCATGGTGCTTGTACTTGCTTTCTTTTCAGTCAGAGATGCTTCTCCCAGATAGATGCATTCCTGGCTCCTTGGTCTATCTTACGTCTTTGCTCAAATGTCACTTTCTCAGTCAAGTATTCCTAACCAATCCACATATTCCCCTATGTGCTTAAGATTTTTTTCTCTGAAGCAACTACCATCACCTAATATAATTCTTGTTTCTCTCTTCCTATTATAATGGAAGCACTATGAGAGCCTAAAAATTTGTTCAGTGTATTGCTCTATCTCTAGGGCAGAGAAGATTATCTAACTTACAGTAGGTGCTCAATAAATATTTTCTGGGTCAATGAAATGATGTATAAACATATAAAAGCTGTATTGTTGGTTTATACTACCTCTAATAGATGCTAAGTGCTTGAAAGTCAAGATTCTGCTTTTGTTCAGTTGTATCTCCAGTGACTCACAAAGTGCACACATAGTAGGCACAGACCTATTTGTTGAATGTGCAACATGTATTCAAATCTACAGTTTAAATTTAGCCACTCCCTCTCCAAAAGAAAAACTGTTTGTGAAGTTTTCATAAAGTTTTTCAGAATAGTTTCAGAACAATTTTTCTGAAAATCTGTTTTTTGAACTCATCTTTTCTAATGCTAACAGCTATTAAGAAACCTGACCATCTTCTTAAATAGTTTATATTGACAATAAATATAGGCTATATAAGTTACATACATATTCATTTACATTTTACAATTTAACATTACACATTTAGCAAAGTGAATGTGTATACCAACCTGGTTTACAACAGATATGACATAAAACAAATACTTATTAAGGAGCTACTGAGTATGGGTAACATCCTTCAGATCATATTATCTGGAAGCAAAGCTGAATTAGAAGTACAGACAATATGGGGGTGCTTACCAGTATTTATTAATTTGTTTTGTTAAGTTTCACCCTCTAAACGACCGAGGTCTTGGGATATCTGGCACAATAAAAAACAATCACAGACCAACTTAAAAATAATATAAAGTGACCAATGACCAGCCACTAGTGTTATTTTGACTTTAAACAAAAATTTTTTTGTTTTGCTTTTGTGTCAGGTTCTCACTCTGCTGCCTAGGCTCAAGTACAGTGGCACAATCACTGCTCATTATATCCTTGACCTCTTGAATAGCTGGGACTACAGGAGTACACCTCCTTAAAAAAATTTTTTTTTGTAGAGATGAGCTCTTGCTATGTTGCCCAGGCTGGTCTTGAACTTTTGGTCTCAAGCAATCCTCCCACCTTGGCCTCCCAAAGTGCTGAGGTTACACGCATGAGTTACTGTGCCCAGCCTTAACTTCTTTCACATTTTTTCCCAATAGTCTTAATGAATTTATTTTGGAGGAATTCAATTTATGCTTTGGAGATATAGAGAACTGATTAAATTTGTGTATGAATGATGTTTTCAAGATAGACAATCCTTAAAACCATTTTTTCAGTGGTAGGGAAAGTGAATGCCACTGCTTCACCAAGAAAATAATTAAGCCTGTTTCTCTGACAAGACAAAATTATTTTTAAGGGTCTTACTATATTGTCTAGGCTGGAATCTGAACTCCTAGACTCAAGTGATCTCCTGCTCTGGCCTCCCAAGTAGCTAGGACTACAGATGCATGCCACCACACCTGGCTTTAAAATACTTACAATACAGACTAGGTGTGGTAGCTCATGCCTAATGCCTAAAATCCCAGCACACTGGTAGGCCAAGGAGAGGGGAATCACTTGAGGCCAGGAATTTGAGATAAACCTAGGACACAAAGTGAGACCCCCATCTCTAACAAAAATAAAAATAAAGCAGACTTTTAATAGAGAATGAATGTCGATGTAAAAATGAGAATGGGTCCAAAAGACCAACTAGTATTAAAACAAACCTCCCCTATGGCCCCACTTTTTCCAAATCAGGTTTGGGAAATCAAGTTTCAACAAATTATAGATGCCACATTAAAAAACGAATCTTGGCTGTGGCTCATGCCTGTAATCCCAGCACTCTGAGAGGTCTAAGCAGTAGGATGCTTGACCCCAGGAGTTTGAGACCAGTCTGGCTAACACAGTGAGACCCTGTCTCTATAAAAATAATAATAATAAAGTTTAAATTTAAAAAAAGAATATTTCTGGGACAGTGGAAAAAAATAAAAATGATTTCAAATTTTAAAGGCAATTTAAAAAGAGGCCGCAATGTATAGTGGGAGGCCTAGTAGTGCAACAACTATCAGTATAGGACTTCTGAACCAGACTGTCTAAGTTTAAATAGGTCTGCACTTAGTGTGACCTTGAGCAAGTTACTTAATTTCTCTGTGCTTCAGTTTCATCATCTGTAAAATATGGAAAAAAAACAGTCCCTACTGCCATAAGATTGTTATAAGAATTAAAAACTTCTGGGGAAGCTTAAAAACTACTTTTTATATTTATTCTTTCTGAATTTTCTATTTTTAATAGATCTCATATAACTGTAAACTACTCGGTGTCCTCTAAAGAACTGCTGTGTGCACTATATTCAGACACTCACTAGCATGCATACTATTTGCTTATCAAACCTATTTTTTTAATTAATATTTTGAAATTAGTGAAAGTAGGACACATACAAACCAAATATTTATACCAAGTGTCCTGTGGGGAGGGGAAATCAAAGATTACTTCAGTGGTACTTCTACTGCAGAGGCCTAAATATGTACTTATCATTATTAAATCATTATTTTAATATAGTGTGTGAATAAAATATGGCTCACCCACTCCTCAAAATGAATCTGAACGAAACCATATCATCCCTATGTCAAACAAATGGACATAATGCTATAAAACTTTCAGATTAGTAGTAAATTCAGCTGTTTAGGAAACAATTTGTATCACACAGACATAAACATTAACTGTGCCACACAGTGAACTCGATGAGGAACAATAAAAGGCTAAACATAGTTTAAAACTTTAGAATCCATTTGTCCTCTGCTAACTCAAATTGGAAAAAAAGAAGCTTTCCAAAGCCCTTAAAGAAAAACTCCATATAATTCTCTGCGTAGTTGAGTAAAGCAGAAGATTGAGGAGCCCAGACTGATTTACAACAATGAAGTGTCAGGGTGTCTGGTGGCAAAGACTTCTCCTATCTTTCAGTCACAAGTTAGTTGGTAGGAGACTATACCTCTAAGGAAACAAACCAGTGCAGATGCAAAAAAAAAAAAAGGTCGCTACAGGAATATTGGTTTTGAAATCCATTCTCTTTTAGGTTTAGGTTCTTGTTTTGAGTTTTCCTAGCATAAACATGAAAAGCTACAGTTAGCTTTTGCAACACATACAAGCATGTTTTTATCACTTGGACGCATGGATTCTTATATTAGCTTAATTACAGAATAACGTGGTTTGGCAGTAGCTACCAATCCCAGTACTTCTTCCATTCGTCCTCCTAAAGGGCCATAAACTCAGGCAAAAAAATGCCAGGCCTCAAAACCAAGGACTCTATCTTACTTTGCCACTAAGTTTGCAAGTTGGTAAACAAGCTAATAGGCAAGGGGGAAAAAAACACCGGATGTCTGATGGGGTAAAGAATACGTGGTGGGGGGGGGGCATGAAGTATCCCGCTAGCCCAGACTAGTTCTAGGATGGTCAAAGAATGTTGAGCCTAGCACCCCTTCTCCTCTCTGCTTGTCAGATCCTAAAAGCTGACCCCAGTAGCAGGACAATCGAGGGTACCGCATAAAGAAGAAAAGATTCTAGGCTTGCCCCTCTTGCTACCAATGACCCTCGTGTCCCCAACACCAACGCCGCTGAGTGCTGCCGCCAGGGAGCTCCGCTTGGTCCCCGAGGCAGTATTAAGGAGGCGCGACCTCACTGCCGCGGCAGCCACCACGCGCACTGGACCTGTAGAGGCCGCTCGCGCCTACGCCTCCCGGGGCAACGACTCGCGGCAGGCCGCGGCCGCCTTTGCCCCGACAGCTGCGGCCTCTGGGAGAAAGAAGCTCGAAGGCCGCCCTCTTCCCGCGCCTACTGCCCCACTTTGTATCGCGCCGCGGAAAGGCAAAGTTTGGCTCTCGCCATTAGGCCTGAACTTTCCCGCCCGCCCGTGCAGGTCTCTGCCGCTTCCCACTCGGCAGTTCCCAGGCTCCGGCCTCTGGCCCACTCGCAGAGACTACTTACTCGGGCTGTTCCCGTAAGGAGTGAGTCTCCGCGGCGGCCATCTTGAACTTCCTGACTCCTCGGCAGCGGTGGCGGCGGCTCCCCGGACGGTGCAAGCTAGTAGAAGTGGAGGAAAAAGGAAAAGAGCTGTCGCGCATGTGCTAACCGCGTAGGGAAGAGCGGCGTTCCGAGTCCGCGCTAAGAATCCGGAAATAAAACCCTATGTCCGGGGACTAGCGTAGAGCGTCGTGACGCAACTTCCGGGTCCAGGGCGGGCGATGCGTGCTAAGGGTTAAGGGCGAGTGCTTCTCTCGAGTTGACTTGTCTAGTTAATGTTCAAACCGGACGTTTAGGCCTGGAAGTGTGCCGGCGAGGGGAACAGAGGAAGTGTGGTGTAGGTATCGTGTGTGCAGTTCCGAAAACTGGTCCGCTATGGGGACCAGAAATTGGGAAAATTCTCTTAAAACTGGGGAAAACGAAATGATTTTGTCCCTGGACGGCGTTAGAGACAAAGTAAATGCTTAGATTAACCACCTCACCATATAGCTCAAACGGAGTGGCATTAAGCGAAGGTGTGTAGGAGGGCATTTAAGAATACTGAAAGTTAGGGTTGTACTTCCAACATATTTTTTTTTTCATTAATCAGTATTTTTTATTATGGTTTTGTGGGGTACAGTTAAGGGTTAGGTGCAACATATTTTTTATATGGAGTTATTATTACATTTATTTGAAAAATTGAACATCTTTTCAACTTTTGCTTAGTCCAGGGGTAACATGACTCAGGAATCGATAGGTTTGTTGTTTTTGTAAATTGAACATGTAAGCAATTTTGGGGGGGCAAGTTGCATTATGTAATTTTGTTTTTCTGTGCATGACTCTACGGTAATGGGATTGAGTATTGTACGGGAAAACATTTACTGGCTCTTGAAGGGCTCCCAATATACCAAGTATACTAAGTAGGTTCTTATGTTCCATACACACACACACACACACACACCCGTAATATATGTATTTCTCCATACTCTGATACCTAAAAGCAGGATGACGATGATTCTTGTAAATTATCTGAGTTTGGGTGTGCCTTAAAAATTTGAGTTCAGAATCTCCAGGCTCCTTATATATCTCCTGATTTCTAGAGGAGAAGGGTTCCAAAAATTGTAAAAAGTAAGTCCCTGGTTGGCTGAATTTGAACATATTAAGATGTTAATTTCTCTCAAGAAATTCTGTTAATAACATGAAACACTAAATTAATCCTTTAATTACTTTTTATGGCTACTCCCCAACCCACCCCCATTATAGTATTTACATATATGGTCCTTAAAGATTCTGTCTTCTTCATGAAAGATTTCTCCCCTTTATCAGATTCAGATATAATAGCTCAAAATTCGTTCACAGAATAAAGTGTTCAGAAACATGTCAAGATTGGTTTTTATTTTCAACCATTTATTTATGCACTAATGGTGTGTAATTTGGGATTTGAGTTCTAATTGTTGTTACTTCAAGGTTCTTTTAGCCTATAAATCTCTTCAAATATGAATTCAGCCAAGTATTTAAATTCTTCTATCTTCTGCTGCTCCCCTCTCCCACACGTGAAGGCAAGGCTATGTGTCATTGTGCCAAGAATAGCTCAGATACGTTTAAAAAATTTTTCTTAACTTAGTTTTTAAACGTTGTTAAAAAGTTTTATTTTAAATAAATGAAATGGGCCGTTGCTTTGCTAAACCATGGTCTCCATGTTTCCTAGCCTTGGTCCCCTCCCCTACCTTGGGGAGGTGAATCTTTCTCTAATTTACTTTCTAAATAAACTATATTTCCTATATAAAAAATTTAAAAAAAAAGAAATGTTTAAATTGAGAGTGTATGTAGTATAAATTTGTACCAGGTCTTATCTTGGAACTAGAGTAATACACTTGAAGGCAAAGGAAACCTGGTTCAGGTACTATTGCCACGATTTACACTTGAACAAACCGGACATTAAGGTAAGGAAACTTGTATATGCGTGCGTTGCCCAGTGCCGAGCTGATTTTTGACAAAATTCTGACTTGAAAGTCTGCTCTTTTCTCATCAGGCTGCTTCCCACAGACATATAACCTTGCTTAGCATCTGCTTTCTGAGCACTCCATCCTCCCAGCTCTTTGACATTCAATTGTTTGTTGAAATCAATCCAAACATGCTTTATTTTCCTGGTATCCAGAAGCCTATTATAAATAAATGCTTTGTTTTTCCCGTGTCTCTTCCTTATTGCTGATTGGTCTGTCCAGAGCTCCTTGGCTGGTCTCAGTTTCCTCAACCATATACAATCTCCCAAGTCCCCTTTTGCTCTGCTCACGTGGCGGTGTGCTTTATGTAAAGATGAAGTGTGGGGAGAAATTAAATGGGGCACAGTAATGGGCGCTAAAGCTGTTCCGGTTTGAAGCCAGAGTTGAGACTTGGGCAAACCAGTCACGTTTTTTAAAAGAGCACGGTGAAAAAAGTTTCACAAAACGATGCGTGCAAACGCTCCTTTTAAAAGAATTATCACCAAGTTCATTTGCACGGAACTACCAGGTGTTCGGAGAGTGAAACAGATTTGTCAAGGACACGTCCAAAACTATGCTGCTGTGTTATTTTAGTTTTGACAGAGTGAGACTTTCGGAAGGCAGAGTCGCAGCAAACATCCATCTATCAGTTTGTGCATTCATCAAACGTTTACGAAGCAACAAACTTATACCCAGCTCGTCAATCATGCTGCCCTCCTCCCTTCGCGAACTCAGAGACCTTTGCGTCGGAAAGCCGCTGCAGGCAGGCGCCGTTTAAACCGACCTGCCCAGAAAGGACAGCTCCGCGGCGGCCCCGCCCTTCGGAAGTCCATGACGGGGCGGGGCCTTGGCCCAGCGCG